CAATTAAAAAAAAATAAAAATTATTTCAAAAAAAAAAATGAATAAATTATTAAAAATATGAACGAAACTTTAAAAAAAAACATTAAAAAACATGAAAATTAAGGATGGATTCAACTTCCAGAACAATTAAAAAAAATAATAAAAATTTATTTAAAAAAAAAAATGAATAAATTATTAAAAATATGACCGAAACTTTAAAAAAAAAATAAAAACATAAAAATTAAGGATGGATTCAACTTCCAGAACAATTAACAAAAATAAAAAATTATTTCAAAAATAAATTGAATAAATTATTAAAAATATGACCGACACTTTAAAAAACATTATAATCGGGGTTCATTCCTATATATAGGAACCAAAAAAAATTTGGACCGACTTGACCCATTTTTTAAACCAATGATTCTTGATGAAATCCAAAGTTTTCTATTATTTTTTAAAGCTCTAGAGGGTGAGATGAAAAAACTGCAACCAACTTCAGACTGCTGCCATTTCTAAGCCACTCGTCCGACAGCTGTTAAAATTATTCCAGTGACAGCTCACAAAGGATGCAAAATTTTAAATAACGAAACTCCCATAAAATTATAGAAAATTTCCAGGAAAAATTCAAATTTCCGTCGGCATAACTGGACATTTTTAGAGTCCTATTAAATCATTAAATTTTCTATTTTTAGAAAATCATTTGATTTGGCCTTTTTGAATTTTTATTTCCTCATTGCATTCTGCTCTAAGTGAGACATGTCTTGAGATTTTTATCGGAATTTTTGGTTTTGCTTGAAGACGTCTCTGGCAGGCCCAAAAAAAAAAAAAAAAACATTTTTTTCTTTTGATTCACAAGCAACCGAAAGCAGCTTGGCGATGCCATATGATTTTTGCCCGCTACGCGTCTCTCTTATTGTGTGTGTTCGAGTTTAAGGCGGCGAATTGCCGCCGTGCGGTTGGTTTTCTGTGGCGATTTCCTAGCCAAGCTTTCTTATCGCGATGGGAATGCGACCAATATTCAAAATCTGTAAATTTGAATATGTAAGGCAATGTGTGGTGAATATGTGAAAACTCTTGGCCAGGCATTTACGTTTCTAGCACTTATGTTGGGCATGGAATTGGCGCGAGTGCAATTTTTTGCGTCCCATATTTAGATATGATCGGCTAGTTCGGTTTTTATTATTTTATGTATATATATGTATACATTTCTATGAGTGTGTGTGTGTGAGAGTTATGGCAAAAAAATAAAACGTAATTGAGTGACTGGGCCGCCTGCCTGCCTGCCTGGATGCATATGGACAGTTTTTGGTGTGTTTTCAATTTTAATTAAACCACCCAAAGTGCCGGCGGTAGCAAAGCTATGCAATGCTCTCCATAAAAAGCCATTTGCTTACAATATTTCTGAATGCATTTCATTTGTATCAGTTCATCTGATAAGGTGGCCGGCCAACCAACCAGCGTGGAAGGCAGCCACACAAATCAATGGCAATTGTTGTTGTTATTTGTGTGTGTGTGTCCCGCGTTATGGTTTTGTTTTATTGGCTTTTTAACAGTCAATTAAATAGACTTAGTTTTTTTTTCATTTTACATTGTGTTGCACTCCAAAACATATTTGCATAGATTGCCAACATCAAACAAAAAAATGCCACCAGACCACCGCCATCGTCATTAGTTTAGGGAAACTTTGTGTTTGTGTATTTCGTCTCGGAAAGGTGGGGCATTTTGTGGTGTGTGTGTGTGTGGCCCACAGGTGTCACGGGTGTCACATAAATCCCGGTAATTACTTAAAACTCCCGCAACAGCCCCTTGGGAAGGAAGGCAACCATTTAGCCATGGGCAATCACTGACATGTAAATGGTGGCATAATTTTTTTTTTTTTTTGGATGAAATCTCAAAACCAAGGCAAAAACTTTTAAAAACTTTGGCGAATATTAAGAAAATAAATTGAGGAAAAATTTTATATTTTTTTCTTTTCATTTTCCCCTAAAAAAATTTCCCTAATTAGCCTCAAGGAAGCAGAAGTAGAAAACGTAACGGAAGAATTGAAGGAAATTATTTTTTAATGTAAACAACGACATTTTTATGAAATGGGGAATAAAACTAATGAATATTTAATGTTGTTAAACTAACTGGGGGAAAAAAATCCTTAAACTCCCCCCCTCCCCTCTCTCTTTCTGTCCTCTCACCAAAAAGAAAAAAATTGAAAAAGTACATGCCTGAGTAGCTGCCATAGAAATTAAATATGCATAAAAAGTCAATGCGTTGAGTTAATTTATTAAATTAAAACACTAGCCGGTTGAATACCAGGACAAACGTCAGACAATTAGCCAACAACCCCATATACCCCTGTTGACTGCTGTCTACCCCCCACCTACCTCTTTTGAAGAGGATTGCTGTTAACGCCACCAAAAATCTCATAAATGTTATTGTAACGCATAATGAATGTTATCGCATTTTCACAGACACCCATCGTCTTTTGGATGTTTGGTTGGTGGGTGGGTGGTTGATATTGCCAATGTCATCTCCCTCGTCGTCCTGGTGGTTGGTTGGTTGGTATCATTTTTGGTCGCTTATCTCAAGTAGCACACGCATCACATCACATCGCAAAAGCCAACAACAATATACCATAAATATCTTTGATATATAATCAACAATCCATCATTGGACAAATGGGGAAAACCAACGCACACACTCAGAGAAAATAGGGATGCTGACAAGGATGGATGTCAGGGGATTTTGAGTTTAATATGGGAATTTAAAAATTTTTTTTTTTTGGTAAATTGACATAATTTCATACGATCTCCTATTGATGTAGTTAGTAGAAATATTGGGATGCTTGAAATTTCAAGGGAATCGGATGCTTATTTCGCATTTTATAAGCGTTCGGGTTATTCAAAATTTTGTGGAGGATGTACCCGAAGGAGTGGGCCCATGTTTATCATATTCACAACAGACCTTGTGTTGACTAAAGTATTGGGATGCTTGAAATTTCAAGGAATGTGGATGCTTATTTAGAATTTTATGAGGATTTGGGCTATTCGAAATTATGACCCTTGTGGGGGAGGTACTAGAAGGAATGATCCGATATATCCGACAGCAGATCTTGAGTTGATAGAAATATTGAAATGAAGTTTAGGAATAATAGGATTGCATGATATAAGCGTTTTAATTATTCAAAACTCTAATCCTTTGTTGGGGGGGGGGGTATCAAATAGAGTGGACCGATATCTACTATCTTCCGCGCAGATCTTGTGTTGATAAAAATATTGGGATATGCCAAATTTGAAGACAATCGCACTTTCTTACATTTTATAAGAGTTATAATTATTCAATATGTTGAACCATTGCTATCCCTTCTTGTTCCGTGAAAATGTGAGGGAGTTACCAGTAGGTGTGGGCCGATAAAGCCCATCTCCGAACTTGCTTTAAGTTCAATAATAATATTCCGATGTACTAAGCTTGCACCGAATAGTATACTCCCTTAGAGACTTATCCAGCCATTCAGGCCGACGGACGGTCATCCCTAGATCAATTCCAAATGTCCTGAAACGGGTTTTGTCATCTGAAACCATTATTTTCGAAATTTCTTATTTTTGTAAAATCCAAAGGCAAGGATTTTTTCAAAAAAACTACAATCCGATTTTTTTGTAAAATCTCATCTTAATTTTAATGCTTGAATTTGGTAATTTTTCAAAAGATTCGGAAAAAAAAAATTTTTTCTCCAAAAATTCCCCACCTGACATCCCTATTTTGTAATCTCCCCAAGGACTATTTTTTAAATACTTCCAGCAAGTGAGAAGACAACATTTATTATTTCAAGGAGGGGGGAAATGAAATAATGTTGTGCTACACGTTTAAACGTTTTTGTGTCAGGGGGGTTTTCAACTCACAATTGCCCCTTAAGAGTGGTAAACGCCCAGCTAAATGTAACTCCCCTCGCCAAAAATCCAAAAAAAGTTTTTGGGAAGGCTCACACACACACAGCATGGTTTTGATAAGATGCGATAAATGATGGCAATGTTTAAATCAGATTTGTAACGATTTGCTGTATCCTTGAGCAGCCACCAGCATCAACATCAAGGGGGGAGACAAACTCAGTCAAGCGTTACGCTAATGAAATATAGATTGCCTACGTATGTTTTGTATTTTCCACTTACAACCTTAGTTTCCGAACGGAATAATACAGGGGGAAGAGCTCAACACGGGAGAGAGAGGAAAATAAGCCCGTGTGCAAGCATTTGATTTCCTCTTCCGGCAGCTTCCGCCGCCAAAGTACTAAGGCAAACAGTTTGCTTTTTTTTTGGTGGTGTTTGGAATTTGAAACGAGCAGCATAGTTAGAGGGCTAGAATGAAACCGTTTTACTCCCCTCTGCCTCTGCAAAATATGTATGGGAATCGCATCATAGACCATAGATTTTTGAGGGTTAAACGACTGATGTCGTATGGCTGAGTGGACAGACGACAACGACAACAACACGTGGTAAATGGTGTGTGAAATCGCTTAAGCAGTTTAAATGAGTCGGCTTTTGACTTGCTTTACTCAGCTCGAACGTACGAACGGAGCATTGTGAAAATGCGATTTAAATGATAAAAGTATGTGTATGTGCGGAGCCACAAAGAGTATTATGGCTTGGTTCTGTTATCATTAAACTATCATCAGTATCAGAATCGTCATCCGACAGACAGACGGACAAACGTAGGCAATAACGGATTTATTTAAACATTATTTCGGGCACATACTTCCCAGTGAGTCAGTCAGTCACTCATCCACATCCATGCTGCAGCAGCAGCACCATCAAGTGATCAATAATTTTGGGATTTGTTGTAGAGGACTAAGGGAAGTTATTCGTTTTTTTTTTTTATTTTTTTTTTTTGTATGTTAATAAGCTCTTGACAATTCTCCCATGGAGATTTTATGCATTTAACTGTTTTTTAGGGTGTTTGGTGGTGTGTGAGTTTGCAATATTTTGGTTGTATTCTCCTTTTTTTTGTATAAATGTATATTGTATAAATCTACTTACATTGTGCAATTTATAATATAGTCCGCAGGCATTACACACTGGTTCACCACTGGCATTCCGCCGCCAAAGGGTTGTTGTTGTGGTTTTGCAATTGGCACATGAGGTCCCCGCTCGTTTGGCCGCACTTTGTAGTGACTGCAGCGTCTGTAAGGAAAGGGGGAAAATTAGTACAGGAAATTAGCCAAAAAAAGATAATCAATAAAACATAAAATGGCGGTTATATTGTAAAGGAGAACTTATCCTAAAAGTATGCAATAATTAAAAAAAATGTTGAAATTAGCATTAGTAGTGAAAAATTAGTACAGGAAATTAGCCAAAAAAGATAATCAATAAAAAATAAAAAGGCGGTTATATAGTAAAGGGGAATTTATCCTAAAAGTATGCAATACTAAAAAATAAAAGAAGAATATGTTTAAAAATTTTAATTTTTTTTGAAACCATGCCTAAAAGTATGCCTTTATTTGTAATTTTTAGAGATCCCAAAGAATTTTTCTTTATATTTGTAAATATAATTTAACCTCATAAATCGTGTGCAGATTAATGATTCTTAATCAGGACGGGAAAGCTATAAAATCGTTCCAAAAAATCTGCCCTAAAGGTATGCTACATTTTTTATTTATTTTGCAAATCTAGTGATTTCTAAGACACATAAATTTTGAAGAGATTTCCAGATCAAATCAACTGAAAGTCTTTGGGCGGATTTCAAAATTGTTATTATTAAAAATGGAAATGATAAATATAACTTAAAGTATACTTTTAGGCGATCAACAATAATTCCCAATTTTTTCGGCATTAGATTAAAAAAAAGCCAGTTATTAAAATTTTCATTTCTCTGGGAAATGAAATGAAAATGATAGCATATTTTTAGGCGACCAAATTTAAATCTCCTCTTTATTTGGAATGCCTTGAATTGTTGAATGTTTCTGTTATTTAATTTTATTTTTATTTCAATTTAATTTTTTTTTCATCTTCTTTGGAGGGGTTTTAAAATACCTTTCTTTGTAAGTTATAAAATTTGAAGTATATTTTTAGGCAACTGTGTATTCGTAGCATATGAATTGATTTCAATTTTACATTATTTATAAGTCTTCCTTCAATATTCCTACGAATAAGAGGAGAAAAGATAACGAATAAAACTTTATGCATACTTTTGGGCAAGCATATAAATTAACCTGACTCTGCCTTGATATGATAAAAGTACTGGAAAGAGTTTAATTTTGATTTTAAATTGTTATCTCGTTAAATTTCAAAAGTTTTTTTTATCAAAACTTAAAAATTACTGCAGAATTTTAGGCAACCAACTTTTTTAAATCTAAATTTATTTATTTTTATTTTCCAATATGTTTTCTTGTTTTTCTGAAAAGATTTAGTTAAATTGTTGTTGTTAAAATTTGCAGCATACTTTTAGGTAACCAAAACTTTATCAAAACTTAAAAATTACAGCATACTTTTAGGCAACCCACTTTTTTAAATCTAAATTTATTTATTTATTTTTATTTTCCAATATTTTGTCTGGTTTTTCTTAAAAAATTTAGTTGAATTTTTGTTGTTAAAATTTTCAGCATACTTTTAGGTAACTGAAACTTTAAGGTCCCGTTTTTTACGAAAAGTTTACAATCTTCTCACTCCTTGGCCTGAAAAATTGACATTGAATATTGATTTTAATTTAGCACTTTGGCATTCATTAACACATTGTTGTTGTTGTTATTTTTGTTGCTATTGGAAAATGTTGTTGTATGTTCTTATATGCCTGGCTATCTTTCACCTTAAACTTGGCCACATCTCTACCTCCTGTGCTATGGGCTGAGCAGTGCAGTTTTGTTGAATTGTCATGTTAACAACTTAATTTATTTACGTTAGCCATGTTGTCATGTTCCCGTTTGTTTGTGTCCCATCTGTATGTTTGTCTGTCTGACTGGCTGGCTGGCTGATTGTGTCCCTAGTTTTGCCCAGACATGATGATGCTCTCTGCTGCAAAAAAAAAAAAAAACATAACCCAAAAGCAATCATTCGATTTGTTGCGACCGTTGCTGATGCTGCTGCTGCTGATTCAATCTCAAAATGTTGTTGCAACGACTGAATGTTGTTCCATTTGAGGTGTTGTTGTGGCTTAACGAGGTCGTCACATAATTACTAAAAATCCCGTCGAAGCAAAAAGCAACAACGTATTTTGACCAATTTGAAAAATGTTTTGTCCGTAACACTCCAGAGTGTAGGTGCCGTTTTGTGCGTGCCTTGGCCAGCCAGCCAGACCAGGCCAGGCCTATGGTGGGCGTTGGAATTAATTCCTTAAAAGTTGTGTGTTTCGCTATTTGCTTGTTAAATCCTTTGGTTGCGTTTAATAATATCGTTACAAGATCGTTAACACCTCTCTCGGCCATTTTCGGCCAACAAACATTTTTGAGATATTTGCTGCTTGTCCGTCGGTCGCTCGGTCTGTCTGTCTGTTGGAATTCAGATGATCTTGTTTCGAATTTTGGTTGGGGAGTAAACATCTTCTTCTTCTTCCTTTGGACATGTCTGTGAAATTTATGTTAATGTGTTAAAGAGAGGCACAGGTGATCGATCCTCTTTTGCTATACGGAGGAGAAAAAATCTTCAGACCCCAAAAAAAAAAAACATCAATTAAAAATCATGGCAATACATGATCAATGCCAGTCCCAAGTATTTTTCTTGCAGTTCCCAAATTCAATACATGATCATGGGCAATAACATTTTGGAGTTTCGGTTTTGGCAAGCAACAGCAGGCAACACACAACAACATCATGTTCTTGGGGTACATTGTTGTTGGTCAACGATGGCAGGCTGGCAGACAGGTATCTGTTGGTTTGCAAGGGAAATGCAAGGCTCTTGGAGCATGAGAATGCCAGTTGGGCTTTATTAGCAGCTCATCTGGTCAAAATGCGTGAAATCTTAAAGGACAGACGCTCGCACACACACACACAGGCATATATCTTCGGAGTACCAACTCCTTGGAAGTGGAGTGAACAATGTTCTGGGCTTGTACAACGTTTTGTTGTCTGCTTCGCATTGCTGCCCCTGTGGAACGACACGTAATGTCCCTCTGCAACAGCAACAACACAGCAGAGATGGCAGAAATATATAAGCAAGGAAATTCGTGGAAATTTCATGCAAGCCAAAAAAAATTGAAATGATACCAAGTGGCCAGTAGTGAAACCCCTTTTGTTGCAGTTTTGTGGAATTGTCAATTTAATGAATTGATACCGATGTTGAACAAGCACATCTTTGGGGATAAGTAATACGAAACAAAAAAAAAAAAAGAGAAAAAAAAAAACAAGGCAACGTTTTTGTTTTCTTCTGTAAACCTTATCATATTCCAGGGAATGAAATTAAGAAGATGAAGTCGAAGTCGGAGTCAGGGATTTAATTGCAAATAACGGAAGCCGTGGTTTTTAAATCCGCTAATTAGCCTCTGATACGAAAGGCAAAAGTTTTCAAATTTAAAAAAAGGAAAAAAAAAAGCTCAAACGGATGGAATGCCTAGAACTGTCGCCATAATAATATTTATGCATATATCATTTAACATCATCACACAATCATTCGGAGCACTGGTAGCAGGCGCAAAGAAAAAATGTCATGGCGATATATCACTGTCATCGGCCAGAAAAAATGACAAAATGTCAAATATTGACAAGAGATTAATTGAAATGCAAACGCAACAACCGAACAGCCAACCAGCTAGTCAGTCATCCAACACACCATCAAGAAAGTTTCACATGAATATGCAGGCAACAACTATAAGCCAAGCTTATCACCCAACAGCCAGTCAGGCGGACGGACGGACAGACAGACATCATGGTCTTTAACCACAATCACACAGAACAATTTTTTTCATTGGCCTACAAGATGGCGATTAAAGATAATCATTGGAACATTTGTTTTTTTTTTGCTTCTTTCTCCTCCTGCTTTTTGGGGGGTAATTTTTAAGAAGCCCAGACATCCAATGGGGACACTAAGGAAAACAAAAAACAACTCCACAACAAACAACAAGAAGTCAAAGTCAACATGAAACTGTTTTGTTATGTTTGCCTTATCATAAATTCGCACCTCAAAAGATTTATTTATGCGCTGACAGCTGCCATAAAGACTATCACCGTGTGCGTGCGCATACGCTGCCAACCAAAAAATGTATTTAACACGCACATAACAACAACAACAGCAACAAGAAACAAATAAAAATAAAAAAATCATGGTTAGCAAACAGGGCCGAGGGAAATATATGGGATCTGTTTTTTATTTCTAGAGGTGACAACGGGGTCACAAATCAAAAAACATATACTCTTCAAATAAACTTTGTTGTAAAAATTTCAGTTTAAAGAATAATGTGGAGATGAGATTCAATTCTTTTTTTAAATAAAAAAATAATAAAAAAATGTTATCCATTCCAAAAGTGTGTGAAAATGTGGCAATATCATAATCCTGTAAAAGACAAAATTATTCCCCGTTCGAAAATACCAGGGGTCTCCTCGGAACATTTTTCCAAAATGTCAGCGGTTTTTGAAATATATTAATAATAAAAATCGAAGCATACTTTTAGGCAAAACAGAGAATTTTTAGTTTTAATTGGTTTTTTCTTTAAAAATTAATGCTAAAATAATGTAAATTGTATACCAGGGGGTCCTCTGAACATTTTCCCAAAATTCTAGCGGATTTTGAAATATATTAATAATAAAAATCGAAGCATACTTTTAGGCAAAACAGAGAATTTTTAGTTTTAATTGGTTTTTTTCTTTAAAAATTAATGCTAAAATAATGTAATTTGTATTATATGACCCAAAAAACTCACTCAATATTTATATAAAGTAAAAAAATTGGGGTATACTTTTGGGCAAAAATTAAAAAATTTAAAAAAATTCAAAATTTTCAATTGATATATTTGTTTTAAAGGAAAGTTATTCCTTAACCAACAAATATTTAATTTTCTTTTTTTAAATAAATCAAAAATGAAGCACACTTTTAGTGAAAACAGGGAATTTTGAAAATTAATTGCATTTTCTTTAAAAATTAATTCTAAAAAAAATTTAAACCTTACTTAATTCTGAAATAAATTAAAAAGAAAATTACAGCATACTTTTGGGCAAAAAAATAAAATATTGCAAATATTGAAATATTTACGCCATTTT